CCCAAAGCTATTTGAAGTAAGGGATTCACCTGCTTGCCTTAGACAGAGCTTTGTATAGCCTAGCGCTTCGCGCCTTCACTTATGAACTAGAACCATCCCACAAATCATCTTTCAAAACCTGACTTGAAACTCTTTCTCGCCTAACTAAGCGTCAGTAACGTAACTGGAAAAATTACAGAAATCCCACCTTTTAGTTTACTTTTTACCATTATCCCCTATAAGTTTTACAAATCTCCAAAATCCCTCATTTTCGCGCATCAGATTAGTGTATCATGTATAAAATGTAATGTATCTTACTTAATGATTAATGTATCTCGCGCATCAGATTAATGTATCAACGCTTATATTATTGTATCCGTTTGAGGGATTTCTGTAATTATAAACTTTTAAGGGTATAAATTGTAATTTGTCCTTAAAAGTATGTGATTTCTGTAATTTGCCCTTATTTTATTTATTTTCTCATTTTAAAAGGTGAGACTGCTTACGAAAAATTATGACTTTTAGATAGTGCAATCAGAAAGCATATGAGTGAATGTTGCAAGAATGATGAAACAGAGCTGCAACCAAATTCATTTTTACAAAATGGTGACTCTTCTTTTTCCTCCTAATTGATGTTCATCATCAGAAATAAATGTTATGTATATTGTAACAACAGTCTTTTCAACTTTAGATTAATTGATAATTGCTCAATAGATGAAGTTTAATAAGAATATATTAATATCAGGTAAATAATGAAAGATACTTAACTATATTACTCTTATTATTTACCATAGACGTTTCTGTTCACTGCACATTAACAAAACAAAAACAAGCCTTAATTTCTAGCTCTAAATATAAGCTTAAAGGATAAAATGGTAATTTAACTTTGTACTTTAGAGCTTCCCACTTTTAATAATAACTAGTTTTTGAGTACGTGCGTCGTGCGTATAGCCAAGTGTACCTATTACTATAAACTTATAGTATATGACAATCGTGCTCCACATAAGTCTTTAGACATCTTATTATAATGTTTGACTTGTAAATGTTAAGTATTTATAAGATTTATGTTTCACTAAAAAGTATAAATGATGGTGGATATAGGAAGAATTCTTATCAATTAGTGTTACACATATAATTGTTAGAGTAAGAGTGTTTGTTTGAAAATTAAAATAGTTATCTAATTTTATATGGATCATTGATAATGAACTTTATACATTTAGATCTCTTTATTATTAATTAAAGAGGCAATATACTAATTCATGAGATGATGAACTAATTATAAATGCATGTATAGTCATTCAACATATCTGCCAAATATTTTATATATTCATGTAAAACACAAATGATCTGACATATAATAAAATATCTAATCTTTCATTGAGATAATTTTTAATTTCATTTGAAAATAAGGAGTATAATATTGTACATGTTCCACGCCAATAATTATACAAAGTCTAAATAAGTAATATCTATTTAATTGTAATCTAGACACAAATTTCTTTATATAAGCAGAGAACATATTTAACCAAAATGGATAATAAGAAAAGAATACATTATAAAAGAACATTTAAAACTAATTCAAAAATCACTTACAAATGGTCATCACTATAAGCACTTTACATAAAATAGTACAACCAATTCATTATTTTGTTGTAATTCATACAACATGATAAAAAAAAAAGTACCATTTCCTTCCAAACATTCTTTACAATTGATCAATCAATCGATCATAACGTCTTTGATCCAAATACACCAATAATGATATCACCCTTAACAGTTCTACAAAGATTGATGACAACTTTTCTTCTGTGGTCTATGACTATGACCAGAAAGGAAATCAAACAAGAAGAAAGAAATGATATACCAAAGATGAGAAAATGGATCTTAATTTATAAGAGAATTGACATTAACATACTTTAGTAAGAAGATCACATATGAGATTTGTAAATTCATTTCTCTTTCTAGGTGACTTTAAATAGGAAAACCTTAGGTGAGGGTGATACAAGGAAAAAATTAAAAGAGGCTATCAATTTCCTACTTAATTATATAACCTTTGTTCTTCACTTGTAATTCACTGAACAATATAATTAGGAGTCTTTTTGTCTTCTTGATAATAATTACTTATGACAATTTAATATTAATTCACGATACAACATGAATAAATTGTAACCAAAAGAATTTGATAAATTTGATATTGCTTAATGTGTAACTCTCCCTTGTAGTAATTAAAATTCACTATTTAATATTTAATTAACAATTTATTAGATGATTAATAATATTTGTATTTGTATTTGATAAAGGGACAAAATGGTAATCTAACTTTTGTCTAACATTCTTCACACTTTTAGTATAGAATAGAATGACCATTAAGATACATTTACGGAAATTTGGTCTACATAGAACAATTTTCGCAACTTTTTCAATTGTCCATAATTTGATCATCATGACTAAATAAAATTGATGATTGATGCCTATTCATTTAATATTAAAAAAGTATCATAAACCCAATAAACAACTCTATAAAAAGTACAGAAATTTTATTATTTATTTAACTATATATTTTATTAATGATATTATTGTAGTAACTCAACTTTATAGGGTTATTTTGGTATTTCAACTTTTAACTTTTTTTGTTTCCACTTATAGTAATACTATTGTTTGGGAAACGAGTGTTGCACGTTTGTCCCAAAAAATTTCATATAAATTTTGTATTGCAAATGACATATTTTCTCCGCTTCAAATTTATTGGTATTTACTATAAACAATCCACCGTTTTTACAATAAAAAGTACATATATCTTCCTAATAAAAAGAATGCATCCTTGATTATAAAATTGACTAAAAGTGCATAAATTAAAAATAACTAATTATTGTACAAATACAATATTTAAATAAGTATACTAAAATACCACATGCTAGGTTAATGTATACAAAGCAACAAACCACAGTAAATTCTCAATATTACTAATAACAATAAAAACTTATACAATAATAGCAAACAAGAAGCATAAACATTAAAAAAAACAAATAAAAAGAGACAAGTGAAGTGCATAGAGATTTTCTCTTCTTCTTTTTTTCCAACTATTTTAAGTGTGTGTACAATATTGTGTCAAATGTCACTATTTATAGGATAAGATTGAAGAACACTTAGAGTTGTTATGAATATGACATTAATCCATTTGAACATGGATAAGAGGTGGGAGTAAAAAACACAATGAATATAATTAGTGGGAGTTGCATATATTTACATAATGAAGAGTTAGAGGTAATAAAATCTATGTAATGTACTTCACATTAATGCAAATATTTACATACAAAAAAGAATATACTATAGATCTATATGATTTTTCTTCTTTTTGTTAAGGGCAAACATAACCATTCATATTTCTAATTGGAAGATGAAAAAATAGAAAAATTCATGAATTTAACTCAACATGAAATTAATAAAAAAAATACATATTCAAGAAACTTTATGGTGGTTGATTCATGTACTAATATGATGATTTACTATTCAATATTTAATTTATTAAATAGTTTATAACATTTAAATTTAATGTAGTGATAGAATTGTAATCTAACTTTTGCCTAACATTCTTCCCACTTTTAGTGTATACTAGTTCCGGGAACGTGTGTTGCCTGTTTGTCCCCTAATTGACACTAGAAAAATTAATTTATATAATCATAGTGGAGCGTACATAAATTCATCATTAAGTTCAAAGCTAAGTCCTTTTGTATGTAAGTTTGAAATAAGAATATAACTCTTCACAAAATATAGCATGGAAATCTTGTGTCAGATGTTGGAGGTTTGGTATTTTCAATGCTTCATGAAAAATAAACCTTTTTATTATATCAGAGGAATTAATATATTTTAATTACTAAACGTAAGTTTTAATAATCAAAAAAGAAATTGGCTATAAAAAGGATACGTATAAAGAAAAATATTACAAAATGTCTAGGTTGTGTAACATCAAATTTATAGAAAAAATTACAAGTTCAAACGGAAAAGAAAGAAAAGTAAATAAAAACATGGCATCCATAATAAAAGACATCACATTAAAATATATAGACAAAAGTATTGTCATATTGACTGAATTACATTTTGTTAGAAGTCGATATTGATTGAATTACATGTTGTTAGAAGTTGACTTGCTATAGATAAAATGTTTCCTATGTATAAAAAAAACTAAAATCATAAAATAAAATAAAAAACAGAAAAGAAAGCAAGAATATATAAAAAATACAGATACACTATATTTCTTGAACTATATATTAAAGGATCTATATATAAAAAATTATGTATGAATTCTAATACAATAAAATTTAATGTAACATTTAGTCATATTTTTACTTTACATTAATTTTTATTTTATTTTTACTTTTGCACTAATTCTTGTATGTAATAGTTAAGTGCATGAATTTTCTAAACATTTGAGATTACATTTAAAAAGGAAAAAAATACAAATATGTTGTTTTAAAAAGATAAATGATTATCAAATAACGAAGATGGCATAACTATTAATGTTTATCAAAGACTTACTCTTTTACGGGTCTAATTGTGAAAATATTCTATGGAATTTAACATGCTTACCCTCAAAATAATTAATTGTAAATATAAATTAGGATTAGCTTTATTATATTTCTATCCTAAAGAAAGAATACAAAAATATAGAACTAATATGCATGAAATTTTACAAAAAGAAGATTAATATATGCATGAAATTTTAAAGAATACTAATAAAAAAATCAATAAGAATTCTTATAATTATAAATTGGTAATGAAATTTTACAACTGATGAAGACTAACCTAATATAGAATGCAAGATGATCACAAACTTGAATGAAAGAAGGGAATATAAATAATGTTGTGTGAGTGTCTTTGATAGACTCTTCATTAACCCGCATTTAATTAGTACATGAATATATGATTGCTTTAAGATCTTATTTGATGCATGAATTTATATATAACTATTACTTAATATTTAATTTATTTTAGGGTAAAATAAGGGCAAATGATAATCCAACTTTGAGGTTAGGAGCTTCCCACTTAGAATAAGCAGATGTACATTACAGAAGCTATCAACTAGGCAATGATGCAGGAGCTAAGTATTAAAGTTCAAAATGTTTGCTGGAAAAATGAACTCTATTTGTACAAATCTTAGTCATACAAGTAAATAGTATTTCCACTCCAATTTCCGCCACATGCAATTTCCCTTGCCAATCATGACACTCAAACACATCTAACACAAGTAGCATTTCGACGAGGCCCATGCTGGTGTTTCAAACATGAATCTGAAACACTTGAAATGGTAAAAAGTCAGTTTTGGCACACGTTTCCTCCTTGGAGAATGGAGAAGCGGATCATTGCAAGTAACCACTAAAAAGGGAGAAAGGAAAACCTGTTTAAGATGAATATATATACTGCTAAGGACATTTTAAGAGCCAATGGGTCACTCTTTGCAAAAATATTCATGACAACTATCTTTGTTAAAGTCCTTCATTAGCGGAAGTTTTAATGAACGGAGAAATTGTCTTGTGAGGTGAAAGTAACGACAAGTGTGCCATATATTCATAAAAGTTGTACCGTCTAAAGCATGAAAATAAAACCAGAATTGCAGAAGACATAAAGATTATTCTCTTATGAATCTATTAAGAAACTTATTTACATTTCTACCATATATGAGACTTGGTATTGTTCCTTGAGAGTTATCAATTTACTAAGAAAAAGTAAACGAGATAATTTGAAAGTAGCATTTCGGGGAAAAGAAAAACCATTTCAGAGAAAAAACATTGATCTAAAAAGCCATCATTTGCAATCTTTTTATGGACAGTAGCTAACTTACCTCGAACTTTCAAGCTTCGTGCAACTAGAGTCACCACTGAAGCAAAATGCTCCAATCTGTCCCCTGAATAGTAAACAGGAAAAAGGAAATAATATTGAAGACAGTCAACGGAAACTGAAGAAGCTTCTACTATCAGTAGAAGTCACATTTCGGCCCAAAAGGAAATATGTCCTGCATCAAAGCTTATGCAAGTGGCTTTCTGTGAGAATTATTTGAGGTGCAAGTCATGAATACCTCATAAGCATTAAGCAGATTTCAGTGGCACCGACCATCCATTTCTTCCATTATCTCCATCATAGCACCTGACTAGATATGACAAATACTGAAATTCTTCTTATTTCGTACCAGTTGGGAGAGGGGATGGTCAAAATAATATTAAAATTGTTTCATGAGAGAAAAGGAATGTAAAAAAGAACTTTACAAACTTGTTATTGCATTCCTCTTAACAACTAAATAAAAATGCCTAACATGATTCAGCCCATAGATTTTGACTTGATATACCACAACGACCTTCTACGATGACCTTGTACCTAGTAACCTATGAGCAGAATCATAAATTTTCATGATTAAACTTTTCTTTTAGGAAGGTAATGTTGTATTCATCAGCATAGACCTCTGAAAATTGGTTTCCAACAAATAGAAAGATAGAAACTAGTAGATTACAAAGTGCCTGTAAATTCTAAATGAAAATTTACCAAACGTAATTGCCTGCAACTCAAGGGATTTGGCTTGATTTACCACATCGACGTTCTAGCATAACCTTTGAACTAGTAACCTATAAGGAAAAGTCAAACATAAATTTCATGATTAAATACTTGAAGAATAAGAAGAAGAACAATTCAGTTCAAGTGGACAAGCAGAATGCTGAAAGCATAGCACAGATGCTTTTTTATGTCAAAATAATTTCAGGAAAAAATATTAAATTACTTACAGAACTTCTTTAAAGGAACTCGTGGAAAATAATATTCTAATTAAAAATGTGACTCAGAAAGCGAAAGGGAAACCGAGACTTACGTTTTTCCTTAATTATCCTCCCACCTACTTTAATTCTTGGAATATGGGAAATCTTGGACCACTGGGAGTTGATGCAACTTTCTTCTAACTTTGGGCAGCCTTCAATTACCAGGTTCCATAATTTAGTGAGGCATTGCATGGCATCTCGAGATGGCAGATGCTCTAGTTTTTCGCAGTTATGTAAACATAAGTCTTCCAAAGAAACAAGGTTGTTGAGCCCATCCGTCAGAGTTTCTAACAATGGACAATCATATATAAACAGTTCCGATAATTTGGGCATGGCATCTGAGAAGTTCAGATGTTGTAGCCGTTACACCGCCCTAGCGATAATCTTTCAAGAGAAGTAAGGTTGTCAAGTCTGGGAGGAAGAGCTTCAATTCCAAAATCATGTATATAGATCTTTGTTAGGGCAAAGAGTTGCGTAAGCTGATAGGGCAGAGAATCCCAGTGCCCACGTCCGTACACCGCCAGTTCACGAAGGGACAACAACTGCTGAATGCCATTAAAAATCAATTGGAATGCATCAAAATCCACCATCTCTGAGAAAGGACCAATTTCCAATCCCCATAACTCAGTGAGACCGTGAAGGCCCACTTCGGGTACACTAATCAATTTGGGACATCGTGATGTTTCCAGATATGAAAGTGAAGGCATTTCCCACACATGTAAAGGGAATGAAACCAAGTTGTTACAGCAGCTGACACTCAAAAACTGTTGGAATTACAGATGATGGAAATCCATTAGGGAAGAAAGATAGCAAAGGTTTCATTATGAAAGAGAAGGGTGTTTCAGACATAGTTATTGCAAAATTGAAAAGAGCAAAGTAAAAATGAAGACTGAAGAAACACGTGGCCTCACATCTGGCACCAATCCAGAACCTTCCACAATTTTCTGTTCTTGTGTAAATATTATTTCCATTTATGTTTTTATTAATCGTAAAAAATAGTTTGTTATAAGTTAGCCAATTGAGATAGGACACCTGTTAGTCTGTTAGCATTTTTATTCCTTGTATTTCCTATATATACATTTGCTATGCAGAAATAAGATATACAAAAAATTTAGCTCAATTGTTCTTCGTCTACTCATTCAAAAACACTAGAGACTGGCATTGATCTAGCATTCCAATTGGTAAACTGATCAATCCATCACAATTACATAACAGCAATAATTGGAGGGAAGTCAAATAGTTGTCTCCATTGGGAACAGGAAGAGAACTGAAATTGGTGCAGCTGTCAATCATTAATCTCTTAAGAGAATGGAGATTGTACAAGCTTTGTGGCAATTCACGAAACTCTCCACAGTCGATGACCGATAGGTATTGAAGAGAAACGTTGTTGCGTAGCATCTCATCTGGAAGACAAGTGAGCTCTTTCACATTACTAACATAAAGATCCACAAGAGATGTCAAGTTGCTGCACAAGTTCAACAATGGCATTTCACTGTCAACTCCTCTAATTTCTAATTGACGGAGGATTTCAAATTGAGTTGGAGTACTTTTTAACAGTGGACAGTCTGTAATCCTCAACTTCTCAAGCCCGGGAGACATTTTTACTCCAACTTCATCTCCCTTCCACTCAATAAGGCTACGCATATCCTCCAATACTAGTTCTTTCAATGACGGGAACACTTGGATAATGCTGCTTGATCCAATATTGCTAATCTCAACACCATATAAAGCAGGTCCAATGCATTCCAACTCATGGAATCCTACCAGCTCAAGATGCTGAAGGACTTTCAGTTGGCCAAGGGATGGAATTTCTTTGCACCTTTTGCTACCACTTAATTTCAACTTGACCAAATTTGGTAGCGACTCTTCACTGAACCATGAAGGAAATTTAGTCCCTAAATAGCCCACTACTGCTAAGGTTTTCAAGTTAGGATGCGGTTGAAGACCATCCAACACATACTCATCATTGATCTCACACCCTTCTGATTCATCATGGGTCCATAAATATGCCAGCTTGCAGATATTTGGTTTCTCCTGTAAATATGTTGTTCGAGCCTCTTCTTTATCACAGATCAATTGGAGACCATTGATCGTCAATTCACCTCTTAGGTTTTTCAAATGACCTAATTCTTCTATTTGACGACCTTTCTCTAAACCAACCTTGAAAAACTGGAGGGTTTGAAGACTAGTCAATTGCCCCATATTAAGTGGCATCTGAAAATGTTCATTGCGAATACACCATCCTCCCCAGTACTGAGTTCTGTCAACAGAAGTGTAATATATGTGTCTCAAACTTATCATATTTCTCATCTCATATGGAAGTTCCTTGAGTGAAAAGCAGTTGATGACTCTAAATGTTTGCAAATTATAGAGCTCGCAAATGGAGTTGGGCAAGGCTGTGATCTTAGTGTCGGAGAGATCAAGATATCTCAAGTATATCAGCTTCCCAATTTTGGCCGACAACTCCCTGATTCCTGAACTGGACAAATCTAAAACTCTCATGAACTTAAAGCTCAACAGTATATCTTCCCATATATAATTGTTTCTCCAAAACAGTGTGCACAAACGTTCTGGCTCATATATCTTATCTATTTGATCCATTGGTGACTCACATCCAAAGTATCGAACTAGAGAAAGTTTTTCTCCATCGTCGCCCGTCGGATCAAATAGTTTAGATTTTAAGATATCTCCAGCCAAATCATGCACAAGATCGTGCATCTTACAATGTCTTATATTGTTGTGCTCATGTAACTCAACATCTTGTAGCAAGGAATTTTTCAACAAGATTTGAAAAAACCTGTGCCCAACGTCTTCCATCACAGTGGTCTCTTGACATGGATGGAGAAAGCCTTCTGCCATCCAGAGTTGGATAAGTTGTTCCTTTTCAAACTCAAAATCTTTTGGAAACATTGCAAAGTAAGCAAAGCATTTTTTCAGTTGTGGAGATGGTAGATAATCATAGCTGAGCTTTAGGATTTTCTTTATGCTCTTTTCTCCGTTATCATTTTCACCTGCAACAAGGGGGTTTCCATCAAGAATTGCCTGCCATTCATCTTTTTCCTTACTGCGTAAGAGGCCTCCCATCACACTTGCCGCCAATGGTAGACCTTGGCACATTTCAACAATCCTTTTCTCCATGCTCACTATTTCCTCTGGAATTTTCCCATCAACAAACGCTCTTTGTTTGAAAATGGACCAACAATGATCTTCTGCTAATTTTTCCAACATATGAGGACCTAGTACTGCTGCTACAGTGGATGCCACCAATTCCATACGAGTAGTCACAAGAATGAAGTTTCCTCGGGATGTATTTATTCCTCTCAAGGTGTCCACAAACTCATCCCACAATGTTGGGTCAACACGCCACAAATCATCCAGGACAATCAAATACTTTCTTCCTGCCAGTTCATCTCGGACCTTCTTGACTATAATATCTCTACTCTGGACCTCAAGTTTCCTCTCAGTCAATGCTTCGAGGATCAGTTCAAGAAAGCTCTTAATTTCTGACATTTCAGGTAGACATAACCATACTCTCTTTTCAAAGTGCTTCTCGATCTGTTCATCATTGAAAATTCTCTTGGCCAAAGTTGTTTTCCCTAAACCCCCCATACCCACTATGGGAATGGTGCACAGAACAACATCATCTCTAATGTTCAACATCTTCCTCTTTATTTCAGCAACATCGTTGTCTCTGCCAACAACATCAGAAGGAACTACTATGGAATCTGTTTCTCGAATTGGCAGTATTTTCCGAGGAGGAACCATGAGTGATTGGAGACCAAGGTTTTTGGCTACCTTATTGATAGCCCTCAACTCCTCATTAATGTTGTTGATTTTTCGAGACATTTTGTTCTTAAAAGCTGAATGAGAAAAGAAATCACTGACCTTTCTCATTGGATTGTTTCTGATCTTCACTTGTCTTTTGAGAGATTCATACCTGAATTTGTCAAACACATATTCAGCATTTTCAGCAGCTCTCTCAAGCCTGTTGAGCCATAGTTTCACAGCCTGATCGTCAACTTGTCGTCTTTCGGCATCATGAATGAAAGCTTGGATCAAGGATACATTTTGTGTCAGCATTTCAAGCTCTTTGTTGCAGTCCCTTGAGCTACTGAATTCCTCAATAGTGAGAGAAAGCAATTTTTCAAGCAAAACTTGAACGGTAGCACCAATTACAGAATCGGCCATCGTTGCGTTTGCTCCTTCACAAAATCTTCTTCACAAAAATGTCTTATTTTGCTAAATGAAAAGAGAATAATTCATACACAATGAATTTGAATAAAGATAATATAATTCATACACACAATAATTTGAATAAAGAATCACATTTGGTAGGCCATTGTTGCATATGAGCCACAAAAAGCAAGATAATAATAATTGAATCCAATGGCATAAATATCTCTCCAACATAAACATGGAATCCAATGTCTTTAATTTGTATAACTCTTTCAAAAGAAGAAGTAATTACGTGTTTCAAATTTGAAAACAAGTGATAATTTTTACAGCAATAAAGTCACTCAACTTATTAAATAACCTACAAAAAGTCATATGATTTTACTTTGTCATTCATGTTGACACCCAATTTTGACCCTCTTTTCTTCTAATTCATTATTTTCGAGCTTCTAAATTAATAACGTATAAAATTATCCTTTTTCACAACTATTTTTACTACTACAACTATTTATCTTTATAATTATTATCTTTGTTGTTACATTCTATAGTTACTACTCAAAATTGTATATTTTATTATTAAAATTATATTATCACCTTTTACACTTCTTTTCTTAAATAATTGATTGTCGTCATTTTGTTTCAAGTTTTGTATTTATTAAATTAATTATCAATTCATATTTTTGTATCTATCCTATATTAGCGTAGAGTTGTAATAGTGATACTTTAATTTTATATATTATTAATTGTCATCTTATTATATTAGTTATTAAGTAAGAAGCCCAAAATAATTTAATGAAGAAAGGAAGAAGCCAATATATTCAGACCAAACTAACCCATTTATTCTAGCACACCTTGGCCCATCTTTGGCCCAAATGTTTCAACCAAATTCAAGTAAGCCTAATCCTAAACTCATCAGCCCCCTAATACGTTTTTCTCCCTTTTCTATCTTTGAAAATATTCAAGTGCATACCATGGAAAATCAGAATAGTACACGCCATTTTTGTGAAAAAACTCGTCTCTCTCTTCGTCTCTTGCTGTCAACTCACATGGGGACCAGCAATCTATCCCCTTCTTGGTCAAAGATAGCCGTTGGACACAAGGAGCCAAACTTTGCTTTAAAGAGAATCAGATTTTGTACAGAGAAAATTGACTCTTCAGAGTTCAAAACTTTGATTTCAAATCTCTCTTTGACCTGCGTTTTGGAGCCATAAAATATTAAAATTTCAAACCCAATCCAAAACCTAGTCTTCATCTATAAATACATCCTTATATCTTTAGCAAGGGGAGATTTTTTTTAGCCTCCATAGAAGCCTTGGCATTCATTTTTAAGAAGTTTTTCCATTGCACCATAGCATTGTTTGACTACTATTTTCTTTTCTAAAATATTGTCTTTGCATCCTTCTTTAAATCTCGATCGAAACTCCAGTTTCAAGCTTTGCTTGAGTTCGTTATTGTTCGAATATAGACATTTGATCGAAACAGCCCCGTTCACTGCCCTATAGCAGCAAAAATGGAGTCCCGATTAAGGACTCTCGCAAATTTAGAGTCTCATGGACTCAACATCATCATACCCGCACATGAAGTCGATATCCTAGACTATCCAAATAGCAAGCAAAATTCATTTGGAGGGTCGCTTTTACTTATTACTATTTAGCATTTATTTGTTTTAACTTGCTTGTGTGTTTTGGATATGTGCTAATTTCTTATTAACTAACTTGATATAGTTGTTTGGGTTTGGGTATATCTAGTTAGAAACAAACCTTTATAGTTACTTTAACTTTTATAAACTTCATTTGGCAAACTCGTTTTTAAAAAACACTTCTTTTTTTTGCACCATTTAAACTCACTAGTTTATTAAGTTTTGTTAAAACTTGGTAGTGCATTTCAAAATAAAAAATGTTCTATACTCCTATTTTTCTAAAAAAACTTTTTCTAAAAGAAGCATTTTGTCAATCATTGAGCTAATGTCTTTTTTTTAATTACTTTTTTTTAGCCATGGATTTGTCTAAATTGATCTAAAGAAATTAATCTTTCTTAAATCTTTTTCATTCTAATAAATTGCAAAAGCGCTTTAAAAAATAAAAAATGTTTTCCAACTTGGTTATTCAATCACTTAATATTTAACACTCTTATCTTTCTCTTAAAATTAATTAACCTAAGTTTGGTCGGTAATCGTATTTTTTAACGAATCTTAAAGGATGCCTTATCCCTTCCCTTTAGGATAATTAGAACCCTTACCTAGAATCTTAAGTTTAGTAGACCATTTGATTGAAGTCACTTTAATATTACTTTGTTAAATGTTTCGGTGTCCTAATTCACCATAACTAATTAGGTGGCGACTTCTTAAGTTAGTTAATAATTTGGAAATCACCAATATGTTGTACACGTTTTGACCTCGAGTTAAAATGCGGTTTAACAATTCACACCGTAGTTGCCTTGGGACAAACTCTCCAATTACTTTACCATCCCAACTGTATGGCCTACCATGTGTCTTATTTTTGCTTATGCTGCTTCCACTTCTTTGATGCCTAGTGAGATATCCCAATTCCTAGCCCCTTTATCAAAGCCTACATCCAACATATTATCTTCCTCATCCTCATAAAATAATCACCGCCCATATCATAAGCATTAGTGGGGCTAAATCCGGATGCTAAGGGCCTCTGATTCATTCTTCTTTGTAATCACACTTTTAGGCACAAATTCTAAAGCTTGTGGACTTCATTTGCTATTCAAAAGAGAAGGTGAAACTTGCTCTTCTTCGTCAACTAAATCATCCCACCTAGGAGCATTCCCAAGACCTAACTATTATTAGTTGACTCAAAAAATAAAAAAATCATTGTTTTGTGCCCTGTGTGTATAAGAATTTGCAGGATTAATGAGTTGAAATTAATTTTTGGGTACATGACTTGGACATTACTGCTCACTATGCTTAACAATTTATCTAACAAATATCAACTTCTCCACAAGTCCTATGTGATCGGCTCGGCCCGACTCAAAAGATATTGAGGGGTGATCAATCCCAGATAATCTGTGTGCATAGTCACCCTCTAAACCAATTGAGCCTCCTTATATGTTAGCTGTGTTTTAAGATCTAAAACATTATTTTCTTTTCAGGATAACACTCTTTCTTCTTTAATTTTCCGAGTAATTTTTCTTTTTTAAAATTATATTGTAATTTAGCTTTTGATATTTTTGGTTGCAAAATATAACTCTTCAAATAAAAAGGTAAATTGTATTTTGGAGAGTTTTTATACATATATATAAGAATATATAATAGTCAACTGAAAATGTTTTAATATTTTATATACTTTTTTAGTGTTCAAAATTGATAATAATCTCTCATTAGGTCTACGCATCGAGTTGATGGAGCCTAATTCAAATAGACTATTTTAATATACTTTTTTTTTTTTTTGTGTTTTGTGTAGTCTTAGCAAAAGTTTAAAATTATGCAAACTGATTAGGTAAAAAATATAAGTAATAAATATTAGTAGTAGTATAACTTGAATTTAACTGCAATTAAATCATGCAAATTTATGGTTTAAATGAGAGCTCAAATTAAGTTATGATTACTAAATATTGAACATAAAAATGAACTTTTACATCCAAAATATACTAATACTAATAAATTCATAAGTATTCTACTAAATTATATTTTATTAAGTTTAGACTTATCCAATTTAAAAAATTTATTATCACAACACCTGTTAAAGGGTCCTGAATTTTTAATTAGAGTTTTCGAGTTCAAAGCTTAGGAATTGAGAAGTTACTGATAGGAAATGTTTTCGGGACAATTTCCTAAACAATTATAGTTTGGAGCATAATTATTATTAGTAGCTATAATTTGCTTATTTATCATTTGTAGCTATTTTTGGTTTAGCAGTTGTATTTGTTCGCTTAGTAGATCCAAGATAGTTACAATTGCTACCTGCGTGTATCAGTTGTATCTTTCCTCTCTAATGTTGTATCACTTGTATTATTTCGTTCTATTGTATTAATTATTATCAGCTTGTATCACTTGTATCCATTTGTAGTACTGTATTAATTATATCAGTTTGTATCACTTGTATTTATTTGATTTAGTTTCAGTTATATTCATTCACTCTATCATTTCAATTGTTAACAATTTGTATCAATTGTAATTATTCGCTCTAATATCTCTTGTATTCATTCATAGCTATTGTTCAATTGTTACCAACTTGTATAGGTTGTATACGCTCACTTAGTTTCGCTATATCAAGGCATACAATCACAATAAATTATATGCATTCGATCAATATATATATATTCTCTCTCATAAAACAAAAATACAGTGAAGATACATACAACATACACTTGTGCGTCACTATATTTCGTTGTATGACACTTGTATTTTATGAGATTTCATTGTGATACACTGAAATACAATGATAGATGTAGTTATTGTGTCCCATAAATGTACGTGACTCCATAAGAAAGTAGGGAAGAAAAGTTGACGTTTTCCGATCAGAAGGTCACCATGACAATACACTTGTATCAACGGTAGAAAAAATATCTTTGAAAATATACATCTACTCTCAATTTCAAACGTTATTTAAAATTTCAGATCGGATACATTTTACAGATATATTCTTTACTAATGACGATGATTTTGCAACATAGAGAAACTTTACACTTTTATATAAGAGAAAAAAAAAGACAATCAACCCACAAAAAAAGAATTGGGGATGAGCTCCCTAATCATTTTTCAGTGACCGGTTTGCTTTCTCAGCCGATGATTTTTCATTATAGCACCACTATCCTCCTGTGTCCTAATTCCTAGCCCACCCGTGTTCCGTCCAACTTAACGTATCATCATTAATATTATCTTGGGAATGAGACTTTCATCGAGAAATCACAATTTGCTATAAAATTTCAAGTATAATGAGTAAAATAGTTTTCTAAGCCACATAATTTTTTCAATATTATATTTTATCCCAATGTCATATTAGTCAAACCAATAACTTCATGTGTATAAGCCACGTGTGAATTTCCCTAAT